GGCGCTGCATCAGGGTGACTGTTGGAAGCCTGTACGGTAGGTTTGCGCGGCGTAGACGCGCGCAAAGGTCTTTGACACCGCGTCGATCGTTCAACCTTGAATCGATCGCGGCCCCGATCGTTCAAGGTTGAATTCCGTCGGGCCCAACGGTGTCACAATGTCCCTCGGTACGTCCGCGTCGTTCTATCATGAGGAATTCAACCTGAAACGCCTTCGCAAGCGTCGCGGGCGCGCCATCGCCGCACGAACCTACCGTAACTGAGCACCAACACCAACACAAGGTGTTGCCTCCACAGGAGGAAGATGATCCTAGATTTCGGTGTTGGTGGTCATATTTCGGTCACCTCGGCAGCCGGAATCTTACCACCATCACCGAGAGCGGGATCTTCTTCCCTCGGTGGAGGAACAACGCCGATCTTGGTGTTGGTGTCAACCTCTAGGCCTGCGAGACTGGCCCCTTCTGCCGTGTCGTCGCCTCGTCGTCGGCGCTCCTCTCCGAGGAGACGTGCGGGCCTTGCCAACCGTCCGAGCCCGAGGCAGCAGCGGAATCAGAGCCCTGGGGCCGCCAGGCATGGCTCGGGATCAGGGACCGGTCCCGGTGGAAGGGTGTAGCCCTCCAAGGGCCCACGCAGGAGGGAGGGAGGGAGGGAGGGAGGGAGGGAGGGAGGGATGGAGGGAGGGAGGGAGGGAGGGAGGGAGGAGGAGGAGGAGGAGGAAGGAGGAGAAGGATGATGATGATGATGATGATGATGATGATGATGATGATGATGATGATGATGATGATGATGATGATGAATATGATGAATATGATGATGATGATGACGATGATGACGATGATGGTGATGATGATGATGATGATGAAGATGATGCTGATGCTGATGCTGATGCTGATGCTGATTATAATGATGATGATGATGATGATGATGATGATGATGATGATGATGATGATGATGATGATAATGATGATGATAATGATGATGATGAGGAGGAGGAGGACGATGGCAGCATCGGAGTTCTGGGGATGTTGAACCCCAGGGTTGCCAAGCGTGCCCCTGGCCGAGGCGTCCCCCACTCCTCCTGCCTATTTGGAGCCCCTCGGGCTCCCGGCCCCGTGAGCGGGCCTCCCCGGACGAGCTGGGGCGAACTTGTGTCCACTGCAGGCAGGGGTGACCCTGGGCGAGAGGGACCTTTTGTGTGCGGCTTCGGGGGCACCACACCCGAGCCGCGCAAACCGCCGCTATCGCGCCTCGATTCCGCCGTCTGAGGATCGCAGTGTGTGTGCCTGCACCAAAGGTCCCTCAGGCGAAAGGTCACTCGTGCGCGTAGCCGATTTGGGGCCAGGGTCGTCCTCCTCCGTGTAGCTCCCGGGAAAGAGGGTGGGGAGGGGCGGGGGGAGGGGTATGGGGGAGGGAGCCAGCCACGTAAGCGGAGAGCCGGCTCGGGTGAGCTGGCCCGAGAGCCCTTCGCAGTGCACCCGCAGCTGAAGCCAAAGCCAAGGCTGAAGTGCATGTCGGTGAGCGGTGCTGCGGCCTCCCCTGCAGAAGGGGAGGGGGGGGCAGCTGGGGGTTGGCGAAACAACTGCAATCAGCTGGCTTTCCGAGCCGCCTGGATCCCCCCCCTGGGCGCTGCACCGATGCAGGGGGCGGGGAGGAGGTGATGAGAGGGAGAGGGGGAGAGCGGAGAGGGGGAAGGGGCAAGCTAGGTACGCTCGCCTCCCTCCCATCCCTTACCACGGCGTAGACCTCCTCTCCGAACTGGCCTAAACATGGGAATAGAACTAACGATGCGACGGAAGCACCACTGGGAAGGGGAGAGGAGTGAGCTGGCGAAGGTGGGACGGGGACGAAGGCGAACGGGGAGGGGGAAGGGCGGGGAATGGAGTGTCCGCGTGCAGCTCCGCCATTTTGAAACTCGCCGCCGGCCCACAAAACCACACTATAGACTTGCCACGTCTGGCGCCTCCAGCTGTGATGGGATAGCTGTTGAAATCGCCCATGCTGTCACTGAAAATCTTCATGCTTATAAAGGGGCGTTCGCCAAGGCAGCGGGAATCTGTGCAGCGGAACGTTTCCCCCGCTCCCCACCCATCCCACGGGAGTTCGCGAGGAGCGCCCTTCCTGGGGAGGGTTGACTGGGGGAGCGAGGGGGAGGGAAGGGGCAGGATGAGGAGGAGGGCGCCTCCCCCACTTAGGAGGACGAGGATCAGGAGGACCAGAAGCATTAGGAGGACGAGGATTGAGGACGAGGGTCAGAATTAGGAGGACGAGCATCCAGGGGGAGGACGCCTCCCCCTCGCCCCTCTACTCTGACCCGCCTGTTTGTATCGCGTGCAAGCTGCACGGGTGGCGCTCGGACGAAAACGCCCCTGCTCGACACGCCGACCGAGGACTCCCTGGGAGGTTCCGGAGCACCTCGGAGAGGGGCGCGAGGAGGCGGAGGAGGCGAGGAGGGAGAGCCAGACCAGGATGACGATGACGAGGGAGGATCGGGTGGAAGAGAGGGGAGAGCTCGGCTGCGCAGATTTCCGCCGTCGTGCTCGTCTCGCCACGCTACTGGAACGGACACGCTGGCATGCGTCCCACGGACCCGCCTCGGCAGACCAGCCCTGGCCTCGGAATGCTGCGCTCACTAGAGCAAGCCAAGCCGTCCGAGACTAGCAGAGCGACGCGAAGAAACGGGTCCTTCGCAAGATGGCGTAGCGATCTTACGCAGCGTCTTGCGCGAGACGCCAGCGCGGCACGCTGCACTGGAAACGCAAGCACTCACGCGCGTCCTTACGCGGAAGACTTGCCCGCGAATGCCCGCGCAGACGGCCCCGTTCTCCTGCGTCGCTCGATGGAAGCGGCTGCGCTCGAGAGCAGCACCATGCCATGCTCCCGATGGGGGCGGAAGGGAGCAGGGGACCTCACTCGGGGGAAGGTGTCTGGACCAATCGACCAGGACAAGACGGGGGGGCCGAGGGGCGCAGAGGGGGGATTCCATCGACTTGGGCCCTCCAGTCCTTCGCGTCAGCCCTTCTAGGGCAGGATTCGCCTGTACCCCGCACAGGCGACAAGTTGGGAATGTTTCGGCGATAACTCCGACGACGACGCCGGCGCAGACGACCACGAGAATGACGACAAGAACGACGACGATGTCGACGACGACGAACACGACGACGGTCTGACGACGACGACGACTAAGACGACGAAGACGACGACGACAACGACGACGACGACGACGACGCTGACGACGACGAAAACGACATTGGCTAGACGCCATCTCTCAACCTCGTCCTGGTGACATTATACCAATGCTCCCCGAACTTACGGACCAAATGCTCGTTCTGCTTTCATGACGCGTGCCCTCGCGGCCCAGATCTACACAGATATCCACCGTCACGACCACCTTCCTCCTGAAACCACATTGGGCTCCCTCTTCCTGGCGCGCGGAGCGCGACAGTGGCGGCGCTGGAGGCGCCGCCAGGATGGCCGAGCTCCGATCCAAGAGATCCGCGCGGAGCTCCGCAAATTCATTTGCACTCAGTGCCGTTTTCCCTTCGCCGAGTCTGCTACGGTCGAGGGCAAGCAATCCGTGGACACCCCCCCTCTCCCCCGAACTCTCACAGTTGGCACGCGCGGGGTGCAGCTCGGCCAGCCCACCGCCGGCATGGACCATGGGGGGGGGGGGAGGCATGGACAGAGGAGTGTGGCACGAGTGTTCGCTGCTCTCTCGGGTCGGGCGAAAGGGGGGGATAGCAAAGGGGGGGTTTGAGAATCAGCTCACGTAGCTGATTTTCCCGGCGCCTCCCGGCGCCGGAGGCGGCTATGTATCGAGAAATGGCCCCCTCGGTGAGGCCGAAACCAGCTGCATGCAGCAAATTTCGTAACCCCCCCTTTCCCAATCCCCCCCCCTTTCGCCCAGCCCGACTCTCCTCCGAGGCCCCTCTGTCGGTGTGGGCCCCTGCGGCCCCCCCCCCCACGGGGGGCAGCGGCGCGCCGCGCGCCCTGCAGGGGCGGCGCGGCGGAGGAGCGGAGGGCCGCCCCGGGCCTCGGCCCCTCGCGCGCCGGGGCAGGCGAGGCGAGCCGCGGCCTGCCCGCCGCTCCCTCGCAGGGGGCGCAGGAAGGGCCACGGCCACCAGAACTCCACAGACCTCCGGTGGGACGCGCAGAGACACTACACCCTGCGAAATGCTTAAGAAATCACGGGTTAAGAAATTCATAGTCTCAGAGCTTGAATGAGAACCCAACGTGTCTATTACGATCTTAAGATTTACATTGAAACGTTAAGAATAATCGAGACTCTGGCCGAAAACTTCAGTTTTCTTAAGCATCGCCTAAGGTGTACTATCCTCCTCGGAGGCGCGCGTCCGACCCGAGCACACAGTATGCCCATCTTGTGGTCTATCGTTCCCCCGGCGGTGCGGCCAGAAAGCGCCCGCCACGACGCATATACTACAAGATTTCTCGGTGCGCGCGTCGCCCCTGGGGGGGCCACGCACATATAGTATAAGTACGCTGGGGTGACGCCGATCCGGTCCCAAAGACCACCCCCCGAGCTGGTGGCAGTCCGTGTTGTGCACGAAATGGGGTCGCGCCCCGAAAGCGGTGCCACGAGGTCGGGGAGGGGGGGGGGAGCGGCCGGCCCTTCTAGCTGGTGGTGGTGGGTATTTCTTCTCTTTTGACCATCGCCAGATTCTCTTCAGCTGCGCGCTCGGGGGGGCCATGGGCAAGATCTAACCTCTGGTGCGCGGTGTCACGGGGGCCGCGGGGAGCCAAATCCAAGCGCACAGGCCAGTGCCGAGAGGCCCCTGTGGGGAACGAGCGTGATGTCGTGATGCGATTGGCCAAGGATGTTCCAGGAATCGCGGGGGTCTCTATAGACCCTCGATTCTAGAACGCGGGTGGAGCAGTCGGAAGTCTGCGAACTCCTGGGGATCTTGGGAAGGCATCGTGATCCTGACCTCTTGTTGCTCCTCCGGCCGTGGACCCGCGCCAGAGGTCACTCCGGCAGAGGGTCAC